CCTACTACGTTCACTTCCAAAGAAAAAGAGCAGATATAAATTTATTTATTTATGTTGACGACAGCGCGAATGTGGCAACTTTATTGCACTACTTACACATTAGATTCTCATAATAGTCATAGTCGGCATCGTAAATAATGCGCATACCATCCTTTTGATTGTAGCGACTCAAGCGACACGTACGAAAGCGATCGCTGTAAACGGCTGATCTATAGAAAAGAAATGATTGAAACGAAACTGTTAAATTGTGTGTCTTATAGAGAGGTGGTAAAAGTGGAAATGAAGCAAAGAATTTAATACGACAAGTTTATTTAATGATTTTGATTTGTTCGTTGAACCGTTTACTCCATTTACTGTTCACAATTTTAAATGACCACTTAAATGTCAGTCAACGCGGAACAACAGTTACAGTTACGTGCAATACATATTTATCTACAATGTATATATGTTAATGTGTTGAGTCTTCAGTCGACTTTCCACTTAGTGAGTTGAGTTGAGTTAATTAATTTGCCATCGGAATCGCAGTTATACAGTTGTTATTGATTTAATGCGCGCGGAAAATGTTAGAAAAAACAAATTCCTTTGGCTGGCAGCGACCACTGAATACATAGCTTGGGCGACTATCGGCCGGAGGAGCTTCTTCGAGTAAACGTCCACTTTCTAAGTACGGCAGAAGAAAGGTATCTAATCGTGTGAATTACGCGCATGCACATAAAATGTTTTATAAAACGACAATTATCGTAAGGCGGCCGTCGTAGCCAATTAGTTAGAAGTGCGTACTACAACTCGGCAGGGGCCAGGTTCGGTTCCTGGTACGACGAACATACAGAAAACACAAATACTGGTAACTATTACCCCTCAGCAGACAATATCAAGCCTCTGAGCTTATTTCTCCCCACAGGGGCCTTACCTCTACGAAAAAAGCCCAAGAGACCTTTATTCACTTTTTTCCGGTTGACTTTTATAGGAAATTACAGGTAAGCTGTGAAGCAGTAGGATTAAAGCATTGATAAAGCGGAGTGATACGGGATCAGTTCAGATCGCTAATCTTGACCCGTGAAAACCATGGCCTGTCAGAACCCCCACCAAAAGTGAGAGCTGCCTTGACCGCCATGGGCAACCTCAGGTCACAAGGATCTTGCAATTGCGCTTGCCCTACCTTTAGACCAACGCTTGCTGAGCTTTCATAATACCCAACTGTCTAATAGCGAAACGCAGGAGTGTAGATCCTTCCCCAGCTGATCCATATATTTAATTTCCTTGACTTGCCAAGTCATCAGCCACGCAGTTTCCCGCGATTTCACTGTGACCCGACACCCAAATATGAGTTCATTTCCACCAAGACTTAACTGCATTTCATGCCTATTGGAAAAAGGAGATTACAACGCGAAGGAGGTAATCGCTCATATAAAGTACAAGCAATCGCGAGCGAGAAAGCACAAAGTAAGAAATAAACTTTGCTGTTCACCAATTTTAACTTTCCTTGAATTTACCTGAGCTCTTAACTGCAGTGAAGCTCTTAGTGGAAATAGGCTATGAGCCTTATTAGGAAGTACTCCAACCCGGTTGAGGGATCAGACATTCCCTTACCGATTTCGAGCGTACCGGCTATCAGAGTATATGCTAACCTTACTAATTGACGTTACATCCGTCAGTAGTGTATCTATCCCTAACTTGATTGCACCTATTCCTTCTTCTGCAGCTTTCGAGCCAGTTAACCACCCAGTTTCCATAAAAGATCGTTTAAAACCCCAATCAAGAGCAGGGGAGAGGAACAATACCTTGCGGGGGGCCCCTATTAGCTCCATGCTGAGTACAGATGCTCCCCAATCCGCCACGACAGTCCTGTCGCAAAGTAAGCTGTAAAAAAGCGTTATTAGGTTTGTTTCAGCTCCCAGCTTATGAAGAGACTTTTTTTTTTGGAAAATGGCTTTATCCAAAAAGCTAATAGAATATTGTCTGCAGACCCCACGGGCAGGACAGCACGGCATATGTATATGTTTTAAATCAGGCAGGAGAACATCTAGACCGCTTCCGGCTGGTGGGACTTCTGTTTCGATATGAGAACAGGCCACTTCCCTTGTGTCCGTGGGTGCGCAGGCTTTCCTTGTGCGGAGTCGAAGGATATTTTTACCGGATTTCCAAAAATCAAATCAGGAGTAAATTTATTTTTTTCTGGTACCCTAATGAGGTATGCCCGGCTCCTGGGTGCGTTAAGTATTGTAAGCTTAAGGCAATCCCACACACGCTTTTTAAAAATCTGAATAGAAAATATGTATTTGAAGCAGAGCATTTAATTTTTTTATGTTTGGAAAATAATATGTTTCTGATAGGAGGTAGCCACTTGAGCTGAAGCAAATTTCGGCTCTTTTTATGGCATTTTGCATCACTTTTGTCACGATTTCCGGTTCTAGAATGTAAATTTTTTGTCCAAGGTTATTCTTTAGGGGCCCGAGGGTTCGCGGCGTGCTTACGTACACCAGCCCCTTTAAATACCGCTACCAGCTGTTAAACCATCTGAATTTTGGATGGAAACAACTTCAAAATATTTGGTCAAAATTTTTGGAAGGGACCACCGAGAAATGGTTAATTGCGTTAATGGCTTATCCTCGACACTATCTTTCACAGCTTGGATGTTCCCATTGATTGACTTGTTCGGGGCCGACCAGCTGATTTCTGATCTCGGGTTAACCCAATCTCTTCAAGTCGAGCCTCCAGACGTTGACTTGTTTGAGTAGGTGGCGCCACAAGGTTTGGATATTTGTTTTTGAAATGTACGGTGAAATAAAATTACCGAAGAATTATTCCGCAAAAGCATTGAAACAAATTTTCCGCGTTCTAGTGCGTATCCCTCGGCATTTTGAAACACAATAAATTTCGTAACTGTCACCCGTTAATATATTCAAAAACGAATTATGTTTACCGCCAATTGAAAATGTTGTATCGTCTTCAAAGAGGTTGATACATTCTGCGCCACCTTGCACCTACATCCTGCCATTTTAGACTTCAACTTTTTATTGTAGAATAGCAGCTTTTTGTGTATTTTATGCGTTGCCCGAATGTTTATGCATAAATTTATTTATAGTATACTCACCGACATTGGAAGCTCGTCTGACGCAGACACTCATCCAAGCATTCACTCAAAGAGCGTCCAGTAATCTCGGAATGAAATTCGCCGCCCAGGCGTGAATTACGATAGCGCTGAAATGCGGTATCAGGCCGCCGACCCGACGAGAATAGATGCGATGTGACGGAATTATCGGGATAATCATTAGCGCGTTCTGCAATCAAATGGTAGAAGAAGAACAATGATTATAAGAAAATAGAATCGCAAAGCAATTACTATTGGTCATATTAAAATGTCAGTGGTGAAATAGGTCAACAATGACTGAATCGGTGGTGTGGTGGATGTAGGCGAGGAGGCATGGTGGAAGATTGGCTGTAACTAGAACCACAACAGGCATGCCAACAGGTTGCAACTTTCATACGATAATACTGCAACAACACGCACATTTCATATTTACAACATTCCTCCACATCCCCTCCCCTCCAATGCACTTACGGTTGTCTAAGCAGACCAGATCATAGAAATGATGTGTTGGACTGGAACTGATGCTTATGTCGTCTTTCTGTGAAATGGAATCTTCCTCGGATAAAATGCATTGCTTCGTCTGATCATCGTACTCAACGGAGCGACAAAAGTATCTGCAATTGCACAACAATCAATTACCAACTTTAGTAGTTATTTAATTATATTTGCACAACGCATGTTAAGAGTGAGGTTATGTAATCAGTGGGTACATACGTATGTATGTATGCATATTTGTATGTACGTTTGCCTGTGCTTAAACTTAAATGGTGGGGGGCTGCACACTGCCACTTACTTCTCGGCGCGCAGACACATCGTCTGACATTCTTCCAATGTCATGTTATTGAATATATCCACCTCGAAGGGACCGCCCAGTCGTTTGTTCTCCTCCTTAACGAACACGACCAGGCCGTCACAACGTCGCTCAGCTGTTGAAAGTAGAGTCAAAAAAAAAAAAAAAAAACAAAAGGAAAAAATTGTTATTTAATTGCCGGACCAGGTGTATATTTTCCGTAGAGAGATGAATATGTAAGCATTTGATAAGTGGCATTTGTTTTGATTTGGAATGATAACAAGCAAGAAACAGGTAGATATGCATGCACTTGTAAATATGTACATAAGTGTATGTGCATGTGCATGCAATTTAAATGAAGGAAAGTAATGACCATGAAACTGGTATTTGCATACCATTCAAGCAGGTGTTCTCCAGATAGTCAGAGTTGGGGTCATCTTCCAGCAATTCTGGATGTGTGCGACGTGTGAATCTGTTGATTAGAATAAAAATATTTAATTGTAGGTATATTTTCATTTACATAGGTACATACGTTGGCGAAAACATAAATAGGGACATGATATTTTAATAAGTTTGGCAATTTTTCTTTTGTTTATTTAATGTTTATTATTTTTTTTTCGAAAGTGTAGCTCGTTATCTAGCTAGAAACCATGAAAGTTAGAGTTTTAAATTTTATATAAAATTTATGAAAATTTTTCAACAGATTCTTTTAGAAAATTGTGGATATGCAGTTGGATTCAAGTTTGAAGTAATTACAAACAACCGCTGGATTTGAGCTATTATTATGTTGACGGTGTTACGCAATTTTATTTATTTCCATTTTCAATACAATTCGAAAATTTTTTTATATGGAGAAACTTACGTAAAAAAAATAAACATTCCCAAAAATCAACAATAAGTCTTGGCTACTTTAAAACTGCATACTCAAGAAATCAAAATAAAGGCTCGAAATTTTGATTAAACTTTGTCGCATTATTTGCAATTTTTGTATAAAGTTTGAAATTTGGAATTACCTTGCTTTTCTTAGCTAACGAGCAATAATTACATAAAAAATAATAAATATAAAAAAAAACCAGGTAAAACTTGTTAGAATGTCGCGTCTCAATTTATATGTACGCCACTGTTTATTGGTTCAAGTACGCAGATAAGTGTTGGTTATCTTTCAATTTGCAAGAAATACAAAGTATGCATTTGTAAATATACATATATATGTAAATATATAAGGAGCTGCATATAGAAATATAAGGCGGAATTCACACTTGAATTTGAATCAATTTATGATTGGTACCTGAGTTCGAACCGTCAAATCTAAGGTCTCAAACAAAAAAGATATTCGCTGTGGTTGTAGATTGATCCCTTAGAGCTGTTTGACATTCCACGAATTTTATAATTGACTTCAAAGCGACAATTTGTATCTCGCGTCTCAAATGGACTAAGATGATTTTGGATGTTTATTTATTAACGCGTCTAACCTGGCTTGGCCGTAAGAACGGATTGAAACGCTTCAGCTCTGAAAGTATTCAACGCGAGTCGTGAAACTGCTAACACTGGAAGAGGAAGGCCTCTTCTGCGATGGAAAGAACAGGTGGAGAAGGACTTGGCTTCACTTGGCACATAAAAGAAACGACTCATAGTTGTACTGTGGAATTCCTCCATAAAATAGTGAGACCCGACGTTGATTGGGAATAGGAACATTGAAATTAAATCTTTCCAAAAAGACAGTTAAATTAATTATTTAGAGTAATATTAGCTACAAAATTACAGGCAAGAAAGGCAAGCCTACTAGAAATTCTTGAATTTGTGCCACATACAAAAAAAAGAGAGGAGAAAGGAATGACTTTCAGTAAGGCCTTTTGGAAAGGCCTCAAAGTATCTACTGGGTAGTATGTATGACTCTTCAGGACGTCTGGCAGCCCTAGCCTATGGTACACTCATAGAGCGAGATAACCGCTTCGCTAATTTACATATCAGAGACATAAAGAGATGTCGACGTGATTCAGGGTTGCAAGTCATGCTCGATATACCCTTATAAATCTCGACTGTACTCCTGTTCATTCTAATGCTTTCCTTGAAAGAGGCTTATGGCAAAGATCTCCGCCTAAATGACATTGCAGTCGTCACCAGCAAACTTGTGGCGGCTTTAAGGGAAGCATCATATGCAACATACTTTGTCCTATAGAATATTCTATCTTTTCTATGTATTAGTTTGATCCTGGATATCATTAAAATTATTTACATCTTGACACACAAATTTCATGCTTTTGTATCAAGAGAGTGTGAATTCGTCCTAAATAAGTATGTGCATGCTCGTTAACAACTCACTCACCTGCTCAGAGTACACGAACGCATGGTCGAATCGAAATTGGCGGAGCGGCAAACGAAGGCGAACTCATTCAAACACTTGTCCTCACAATCCGAACGATTTGCTGCCGTAAACTGTATGAATACAAACTTGAATAAGTTAACCACAAATGTGTTACACGGGTGCCATAGGCAATAAACTTAGCAACAAGAACAGTAAGATTAAAAATAATAGACCATCAAACAACAGTTGTAGTTGCTGATAATCATCACACACCTCCTTAACATCCGATATTGGTAATTTCAATTTCTTGCGTGGATGCCGTTCGAATACATAACGCCGACTGGGACATTCTCTCTCCGGGCGACTGGCTATATGGTGAAGAAACAAAACAAAAAGCAAAAATATTAATTACACATTTACTCTATTAACGCGCTAGTTGGTGCTGCATGTCTCACTCCAACACTTACATGTCAAACAGATCTCATTGAAATGCACACTGTTGGGCACTAACATCAAACTGCCGATGCCCTCAGGACCCGCCTGCTCCGATGTTAGATAGCAGAGGGATTCTTCGTATTCGGAAGTGCCACCGAATGAGGTGATGCGACTGCCTGGCTGAAAGTCGAAACTGGTGCAAGTGCGCACTAGATTGTTGGTGCCGGTGCGATCGCGCAGGCACAAATCTTGACACTTTTCTAGGACGCGAAAGGGCGGCGCTGTGTCGCGCACCACATCATCATCGTAGCCCTGTAATTGTTGGTTGGGCAATCGTTCGTAGAGAACACGTCCCAGGCCATTCTTGCAGGTTGTTTGTGCTGAAATTGTTCGGCCGAGGTGAATGTGGTTGGACGTAGGTTAAGATATGCGTATGTATGTACGTGTGAAATGTATAAAGGTAGCATAACTTACCATAACTTGTTTGGATGCCTATACTAAATACTATAGCTAAGTATATAAAATTTATTTTAGGTTTTGTTTTCATCATTGTGCTTTTGGAGCTTAAATAGTTAAAGTTTTGTTGTTGCTGTTGTTGGAAACCAATACTTTTGCAGTCTTTGGTTGGAATTTCATATGATGATCGGCGGTTTAGACCGCATTCTTACGGCCCGGGAGCCGGTTGTAAGGTCTGTAATTAAAAGGAAACAGAGTTAGATTGCATTTATTAGTTAAGTAAATAATTTTACCACTTTAAAGTTTTATTATAAAGCAGTGATAGAAAATGTATGCGGCTTTTAACGACGGAAGTCAATGTTGTGAAATACGAACGGTTTAGGTTGCCAGATCATCGAAAGATATGTAGGACTTTCCACACAACTACGTCTGTGAATTTGGAGGATTGATCTTAGATAAAAAAGGTCATATGTCAAGTTTTGTAATAAAAATCTTTGTCTAAAAACCCGTATGGTAAAACTGCAAAAACATTTTGTTTGATGGCAACTCTGTAATTTCTAATTTCGCCCATAAAAAGAATACTTAAAATATGTGCTTAAAAACGCCATAAAAAAAATCAAAAATCAATGCGAATTTTAAGATAATTCAAACTTGCATTCAACATATTACACTAAGTGGAATGAGCTACAATGTAGCATACTCGGATTTTTTTAGTTCTGCTTAAAAATTTTGGTACTTTGATGCAATTTGGTTGAAATTTGTTTATTTTTTCTAATTTTCGTACAAAGTTTAAATTTGGATTTATATGGCTGCTGTTATACTTTTATGAATTAAAGAACATTAAACCAACTAAAGAAAAGTAGTCAAATGTCGCACTCCTATTAATTTTACCATAGTTGTACATATGAAGTTAAGGCCTAGTGTAAGCCCCAACCTACCGAAAAAGAGGAAAGTTCAAATTTATAGTGTCAGTTGAAAATTCTGAGTATGCTGGTTCCGTCTACTCGACTGGGCTCACGACTTGTCTAAACCTTAAAAAAGTATATGAAAATTTTTCCAATTTCATCTTGATCGCGTTGATTTTAAACCATTTTTTTGTTCAAGGTTTTACGCATTTTCTACCATATAAAAAAAAAAACATTCCCACATACTTAGTATGGAAGAAACTGAGTGAAAAAATGCCAAAAATCAGCTTAAAACATTTAAATTTTTTATAGATTTTTTTCTTTAAGTTTGCACTTGAGATAAAACTTTGCAGAATTTTCATAATTTTTGCTTGGATTCATATGGGTAAAAAATAAACAAATGAAAAGTAGCCAAAACTTGCTAAAATGTTGCGCCCTATTTGGTTTTCCACCACAATACATGTGGATATTAGAATTTGATCTCAGTAACAAAGGCTTTTATTTTTATATTATAGATTTGTTACATTTTTGCCAAATTTGTATATTTTAGCATAAAAAAATGGAACCATTTGAACCGAACCGCGGTTCAGGCATACTTATGAACCGGTACGAGCTTTTTCTAAGTGGTTCGAGCCACTGAACCGAATCGCACCTACTTTTAGAATGGTTTCCAGCCCTGCTAATAAGTTTTTAGGCTACAGTTATGACTCTAATAGCTCAGTTATGCATACTTGCACTGCTATACCATTCTTACATAAAAATCAAAACCCAACAGAATTCTACATGTTAAGTCCTAGGCGTTGGGTAACCGCTTACACACAAATCCCGTTTAACAGATTCTTATGTGACAACTCTCATGCAGAGCTAAGTATGCATAACTGGGCTATAAGTACTTCTTGATGAACATTTGGGAAGCATCGGAGTTACAAATATCCATTTGAATATTTATACCAGCGATGCGTCTTCTACAAAGTTAAACTTCACTTGTCCATATTTCTGGCACCGAATCATGTAAACTGGATATCATAGCGCACGGCAGTGCGCGCGAGTCACGAAAGCAGCTACAGTAGCATGCTGAAATGACTCGCTTATATATGTACATATACACGAGATTTGGAAGTTTATATCCAGACGTCCAATCGACATGTTGAGTATCGTTGGAAAGGTCTTGTAGAGTGTGTCCAGAAAATGTATTCAAGTTTCATAAGCGATTATACGAATTCTTAAAATTAGGCCAACGTGTTGCGAATCAAAAAACGTTTTTTTGCTTATGCCGGTATAAGGGGGTAAGTGGGTATACCCGACATATTTAGTGTTATTCTATAGGTCAATACCTTTCAAACGATACCTAATATATTGAGTTCCGGCTACTAGTTGGAAAGATATAGGGCTAAATTGGTTTTGGTTCGTGTCTCCACTACGAGATGCTTTACGATGTGTGTAGCGTCTGTACGTACCTTAATTTAATTTTTTTCAAACTCGCAGAAATTAAAGTACCAATAAAACTACGAAGGTTTTGTTCCAGGACGTTTCTATTGGTATGCCTTTGTGGACGTGGCTGGTGCCTGAAATTCGAAAAAAGTCAATTTTTTAAAGTACCACTGAGGCCCATGTCATTGATGTGTAGAAGGGTCTTCAAACAAATCTTTTGGGTTTATAAATTATAAATATGTCATAACGTTATCGCCTGAAAACTAAAAATCCGGCTGCTGAAAATATACGTTTCGGGCATTTTCTCAAAAACTGGTTAGTCGATTTTATTCCAAGTTTCCTCAAGTCTAGCTCAAAACCTTAGCTTTCGAACAAAATATTTTATTTATTTTTTTTCAATTTTATTTCAACATTATTTCAACATACATATGTACACCCAGCGACAAAAGATAGCACATCAATATTTCTACCAGTTTTAACTACTTTTACTACTTTAAAATAAAGTAGCATAAAGCTGTATAAATTATACTTAACTAAACAAAACTAAATTTTTATAAAACGGACAATTTAAATCACATTTTGTTTTAATGAAATGTACTTTCAAATTTCGTATTTGGTGATTTCTTTAGCCTCTGATTCGATGCCCCGAATTTAATACCTCCTGGAGCATTTTTTTTAAAGAAATGTGTAGTTCTTAAAATACCAAAAAGTGCCGGAATTTC